TCTTTATAAAAATATCTTCTACAAGTAAATAATTTGAATTTCTGATATGCAAGTAGATTTTTATTATAATTAAATAACGTTAATACATTAAAAATCTTAAAATATGACAACATATTTGTACTATTGTTTCTTATTTGCGTCATTTAGTTTTCATATGCTACATTTTATTCTTTTATGTCACTTAAATATGTGCTTTCATATGCTACATTTTATTCTTCTGAGTCACTTAAACATATGTTGTTCTGCCTTGTTTATGTCATTATTTTTGCAAAATTTTATCTATAAAATTTGATAAAATTATGCAATCTCATTGTAGCCAATACTACTCTCTTTTGTACATGATGAATCTCATATCTTGGGAAATCACAAAGAATCCTCTATTTCTTCTTCCAAACTCCAAAAGTCCTCTTGATATCATAATGCAAATGATGCATGCCATTGATTAGCAATTCTACTTTATTTATCGCATGAGAAATTGAGTCGAATTGTGACATATGATATATACCTCATAACTATGTTTCATGATGACCTATAAGGAGTAACGCCCGTGAACCAAAAAGGGGATTTTTTTTGGGCATGTGTGTCGATCCACGGGGTAAAATCAGACCGACGGTTTCGGTTTCTGATTTGCCGGTTTGGGGAGCGGTTTAGGGAACACCCTAGGGTTTGTATAAAAGGGCTGGAACAGACGCGTGTTGGTCTCATTTTGGCCGAAAATCAGAGAAAGAGGAGGATTCGAGAGAGAATCAAGAGAGGTTGTGAGTTGTGTGTGATTGAGGGTGAAGGACAGCTTCTGTTCGAGTGTTTGAGAGGGYAAACGGCTGRGCAATTCGAGRAGGATTGGGGTGAAACTTTGAGRGTAAGTTYTCCGATCTCTGKTCTCGATATGGGCGAAATCCGTTCGTCATTTCGTTGAATATTCGTTGAGTTATGGCTGTTTGAACTCGATAGGGTTGTGCAGACTTGTTGCTGCGATCAGTCGGCTTCGGGAGGGCTTTCTGAGCGAACGAGAACGACTTAGGAGACGATCAGCCTATCTGTTGAAAGCTCTCTCTGTCTAGTTTCTAAATCAGGTTTCTGATCCTGATTCGGAGGTAATCTCCGTTCTCTGTGTTCTTTCGATTTCAGGGTGTCGTTTCTAAAATTCCTGTTTTTCCAGTTATGATCAGCGAGATTGCGGGCTGTTTTTTCGTTGAATCTTAGGGACGCAGAGGACGATCTACATACCGTTGTGTAGATCTCTCTGTCTAGTTTTCAGAACAGTTTTCCGATTCTGTTTCGGAGCTGTGGTTGATGAGATAATCGATTCCAAAATCAAGGTGAGTGCGCGACCATAGACCCTCGGATTAGGATTTGATGGAATATGATTGATTGCTGTTGTTCCTGGTTGTATTCGTGTTTGGATGTTGAATTTTGTGCAGGAGATCGATGAAAACGCGTCTGGAATCGATCCATGAGAGGATATGATCGATTCTGGTTTTCTGCTTTTTCTGGGCTCCGTGTCGAGCGACACACGGTGTTTGTGTTGAGCGACACAGAGTGTTTGTGTCGATCGACACGCATTTCTGATTGTCGTCAGTTTGACGTATTGATCGT